CAATCATACAACCTTAGACAACACAGATGTGTGCTGTATTTTGCACACATAGATCTCATAAGTAATACAAAATCACTATAATCAAAGAATAAATTATTAGTAATGATCATTTTGGAGTAATAACACACAAACTGAAGAAAAGAAGTATGAGTGTAAGGGTAGTTACAAACAACTATTAAGTATATCATTGATAAAAAATAGTCTCGAAATTTATTCCGACCGTAGCTGCTACATTAATGTGGTGGTCAGGCCTGCCTATCATGAAGACCCAACAGAGCTATAGGCGCTGAAAATTATGTTGTTGTAGGTTCTACCGTGCCAGACAGATCGATTGAAGAACGGTGAGACTAAAAGTAGAAACTCAAGGTTTGAGGGCGAAGTTGTACAACTGACTGACTGTAGAGTGGTGTGACAGCAGTAAAGTGTTTCCCTCGTACAACTAGCATATGCAACGATGCTGTCTTCTCACAAGGAAGGGGTAGTTAGAAAAGGTTGACCGTGAAGATGTCACACCTCACCTTAACTCACGGATTTCTGTTTCTGGTGGTAACGCCTTTTAAAGAAGAACGGAGCTAACAATTTAGAAAGTTCTCGTGAAAAGGCCGTGCGTGACCGGCCTCAAGCAGTTGTCCCTTGGGCTCTACGGTCACATTCCCAGGTGACTAAGACCCACCGGCTCCTCAAGAAACACTTTTCCACGGTGTGGGCTACCGGGAAGTGAGTTCTGCCCTCAAAGACGTAACAGTACCCAACTGACTGAGTGAAATTCAACTGTATCGGGTATCAACCAGTTAACACCCATGAAAGGCAATAAATAATGATCGCACAATATTGTGAATTGATCGACAATAGATATTAACACTATCAGATGCTAAGTGATCTGTAGATTTAACATTTCCACAAGAGATCAACGATTACAGGTTCCGATCCTAACTGCATAGTCGTGAATGCTTCTTACAAGTCCCAAGCCAAGAAGAAAAGGTTGTCCAGTGTTTTCCAATTTTCAATGATCGTCCTAAAACTAATTAATTCATGATTTCAATTATAATTATGTAATTTTTGTAGTGAATCGTTGACAATAAAACAAATCTGACCACGCACACATGCACACGCGCACACACACACATAATCGACGTACATATCGAATGAAAAATGTACAATTTATAACAAAATATAAACATAATTAAAACATGTGAACAACAGTATACTCAACCATCTGTCTGTTTAGATTTGTAAATTGAAACAAAAAATATGCCAAAAATGTAATGCATAGATTGTTTAAAACGAAAAAATCCAGTTTATTCTCAGAATCGTTCATAAATCAAATTAAACTGAACAACAGTATACTCACCACTGCATTTAATAGTCGTCTACAGCCTATTGCTGTTCGTGTTACAAACAAATCAGTCAGAAAAGAATGGATAGAGCAAAATTCGCGTTAGCAACAAGCATAGACAAATGCTAAATTGTAGATAAATCTAGATCCATCATTTCCCAACGGAGTTCGATCCCGTCTCCTACACATTGCAGAAGCCATAGGAATACGTACAACGTTCAACCCTAATTTATGTGTTCAGAAGAAATTCATGCCGAATATGATGTAACTAACGATTGACATTATATAAATTTTTTATCTTATTTCATTTTATTTTTACCCATTTGCTTATTACGTAATGGTTTTGATGTTTTTTGATGATTATTTGAAGTCTATTCATTCACGTTTAACCTACTATTGATAAAACTATAGTTACACATTTTTGAAACCATGAATTGATCAGTGTTAGATCACCATTAGAAACCTGGAAGCACTGAAGGACGGCCGTCAAGTCCTGGCATGGGACTCCTCAGCAGTGAGCATCCACGACTCCTGCACCCCGCAGGATTCGTACTTTGGCCTTTAGGCATTGTAGGCGAAGGCCCAACCATCGGACCACTGAGCCGGTATCGCACAGCGTTAATGTCTAACTTGATCAGTTCACGGAGTTGCGCAACCTGACACAAAGTCTTCGGTAGTAGTTACTGTCTACACCCGAACAGGTTGAACTTCACTGGTCACTTCTTCCCACTAGAACTCGGAGAAGATTCCTCACGAAGCTAGTCACTAGTGGGCACAGGTAATTTGCATCACGGGGTTGTCAAGATTGTTAAATTACACATTTTTGAAACCATGAATCGATCAATGTTAGACCAGGCATTCGCCTACAATACTGAAGGTGCAGGATGCGCACTGCTGAAGAGTTCCATACCGGGACTTGACGGCCGTCTTACAGTGCTCCCATGTTTCTAATGGTGTTGGTCTAACATGGATCGATTCATGGTTTCAAAAATGTGTAACTTACCAATCTTCACAACCCCGTAATGCAAAAGTTTAGTTATCATATTTTATAATTTCCTTACTACTCTATCAGTACACCTGTCTTCCTACTATCCACTTGAACTTTGCTTATTTTTATATGTAGTGACGTAATCTCTATTTCATTTCATTGTGATTATCATTCAAATTGCCTTGATTGGTTTAACATTTTCATACATAAATATTCATGTATATTAGAGAGAGTAAAGCAGCCTGATGACGATCTAATCGAAAACAACAATATTGTTCACTTATATGTGTTGTTCTAAATGCTAAATATCTTCGACATAGCAGAAGCGATAGGAATTTGTACATTCAAAACCCAATTTATGTGTTCAGAAGAATGGCGTGACTTCCCTAATGTCTTCCGTGGCCGGATATGACTTAACTAACGTTTTTTAAAAAAAAATTTTTTCTAAATTTTATTTTTGTTATTATTAGCATTATTATTTTCACATCCTGTATTTTGTTGGTAATCTTATTCGCCTCTTTCCGTTTCTATTCGTCTTCACACCCTTCTTATTACGTAATGGCTATAGTGTTTTGTCATGATTATTTTAAGTCTATTTATCCACGAAGTTTGACCTACTATGGATAATAACTTTAGTTATCGTATTTAATTATTCTTACCGATATGATCAGTACACCTTTGCATTGCGTGGTTGTTGTGAAGATTGTTAAGTTTTATTTGTAACCATGAATTGATCAATGTTCACTGCTGATGAGTCCCACATCAGGACGAAACGGCCGTCTTCCAGTGCTTCTTCCAGGTTTCTAATGGTGTTAGTCTAACATTGATCGATTCATGGTTTCAAAAATATTATGTGTGTGTAGTGACGTAATCTCTATTTCATTTCATTGTGATTATTGACTCATACTCAAATTGCCTTGATTGATTAAACATTTTCATCATAAATAAATATTCATGGTATATCACACACAGAGAGTAAACAGCCTGATAACAACAACGATCTAATCGTAAACAACAACACTTGTTCGCTGCTTGTATCTGTGTGTTATTCTAATTTTCCAAAAATGGGAATCTTTAATATTCGACATAGTAAATTTGAGAATAATTTAACATATCACCACCCCATATACACAACGGGGTTGTTGTATGTGAATGAATAGCTTGTATGATTAGATTTACAATTCTGGTGAGTAAATCATCCAATATACTAATCTAATCAGCTGATAATAATAATTCATGTCATGGTATCTTGTTTAAAAGAGAACAATGGCGATATCAATCAACACTGAGCTGACTACTAATATCCAATAAGTGGTAGTAGTAGTAGCCAACAAAAACTAGAGTTCAAAACTACAAAGGGCTTACATTGTACTGTGTTTTAGTTTAAGCATACTTACTTATGCCTGTTACCACCAATGGAGCATAGGCCGCCCACCAGTTTCCTCCAACCAACTCTGTCCTGGGATATATATAGGCACATTGCGGACGTTAGATCCCCAGAACTCACTTGAAAAAAGGGCCTAATTTTCGAATTTTATGTTTTCAAGCATGGACTGCTCAGTTGACCTTGAGATTATGTTTCCCACCCGGAAAATCTTTGATTGTCATTGGTTGATGCATTATTTTAGTACAACGATATTTTTGTGGCTCTCCCAAAGACGTTCCTACTAGGTATAAATAAACTCGATTTGTGTGCTTGTCAACCTCATATTTTCTGGGTGCTTGTAGAATACACTTTCTACGTCTTGTCAAGACTTCTTCCTCTACTTAGTGAGGCCTTGGGACGCTCGGATTAGAGTAGCCTATCGTGTCACTGGATCATTTGTCTTCGCTTTCGTTAAGCGACTAAGGTGAACTCGTAATAGCATTCAAGCATATCTATTGAACAGAATATCACTTAGTGACGAAGGGAACCTATAATGCAAGATGAGATGTGTTATTTTTAAGGTGGTTAGTGAAATCCGTTGGTAAGTGATCGCAATTTTAGAGAGTTTTAAGCACTTTTAATCTATTGTAGTGTTTGTTAGAAAATATTAAACCCACATAGTGCCTGACCTAGATTTCGGACAAACAAACTAACTATTTCGACCTGAGTTACTATTCATTGCGTCTTTCGACCTATGGACGAGTGTGTGTGCATTGCTTACTATATTGATCTGCTAGCAAGAAGTCTTGACAAGACGTAGAAAGTGTATTCTACCAACACGAAGAAAATATGAGGTTGACAAGCACACAAGTTGAGTTTATTTATGCAATGATAGAAACGTCCTCAGGAGAGACACAAAAATAGCGTCGTACTAAAATAATACATAAACCGATAACAGTCAATAATTTTCCGAGTGGGAAATGTAATCTCAAGGTCAACCGATCAGCTCATGCCCAAAAACACAAAATCCAAAATTAGGACCTTTTACAAGTGCGTTCTGGGTATCTAACGCCCCTTCCAGGAGAGTCTGAGAACATGTTAAATTAGTAACGTAATCAGGTATTATTCAATCACAATATAATATATATCCCATAGTTTTAGCGAAAATCTTTCCGGAAGCTCGTGTTTTAAAATGCTGATTGAACAAAATGTGATTTTTAGCAGTTATTTTTCACATTAGGCTACGCAGCAACATTTTTAAAACATACGCTAACAGAAATCTGTCATGAAAAAAACAAAAAACAACTTACCCTATCCCAAAATGGATTGATACCAGTGGAAATCACTAAATATAACTTGAAATGACCGATATAATCTTGATTTTTAAATTGTACTAGTGAGGCATTGTTAAATATGTGCAATTTCTGTAACATTGATAATGTAATCAAACTAGCTGCCATAGATCGCCGAGATAATGGTTCCGGTAACCAAGTCATATAAGATGATGGGATTGGAATAATATGATCACTAGGATTGCCAAAAAACGAAAATTGGACATTGAAAATTTTTTATATAGTTAAAGAATACTACTGAATTGTTAACCAGAAAGTAGTACACTTGCTCTCAAAGGTTTTTTAGAGTGTTGCTATTATAGAAACTAAGACTTTAACCAGTGACAAATTCTTCATGAGGAAAATGTTAGAAATTATTTTTAAAACGTTGATGACAACACTAACATGACAGTCAGTAT